GGCAGCGGCCCGGCCCCCGAGCCCGGAGCCCCGGCCCGGTCCCCGAGCCCGGAGCCCCGGCGGGGACGCGGGGACGGCGGCTGAAGGAAGGAGCCGCCGCGGCCCCCGGGAGCTCCCCGTTCCCCCGCTGCCTCCCGTGCTCGTCCCGGGGCGGCGGGGGACGCTCCCTCCACACCTCACCGCCCTTTCCCCCTGCCCGCCAGCCTCCCGGACCCCCAGGAGCAGCAGCCGCTTTCGGAGGCGCTGGGGAGCCGCGCGGCTCCCGCCGGACCCTCGTCTCCCTCGCCGTGCCTTTGCAGCGGGATATCTGCGCAGATCTGTTCCCTATACAATAACACATCGCCTACATATATAGGATGCCATATCACGCATTGCATAGATATAGCGGACACCCAATAACCCATTGCATAGATACATAGGATGCCATATAACCCATTGCATGGGTATAGTGGAAATCCAATACCTGCCCTGCACAGCTATATAGGATCTATACTGCGCCGCTGCCAAGCTCTTGGCTGGATAACAAGCAGTGCCGGTGCTGTCGAGACCGGGCTGGCTCCGGACTGGCTCCGTGCCTGGTGCTGTGGGGCCGCGGCCGGTTCCAATAAACCTGCTCTGTCCCCCCATCCCAGTGTGTCCCCGCCAGCACTCGGGCACAGACACCACCTGATCTCCTGATGCCGTCGCCCCCCGCGCTGTTTTGGGGACAGTCGGTGCCGTGCGGACCCCTCCGCTGCCAACGGGGGTGCCAGGGGGTGGGAAATGCCCGGGAGGCGGGAGCGGGGCGGAGGGAGCGCAGCCGTTTCCTTCCTTTTTCCTCCCAGGAGTGTTCAAGGGGAGGCTGCTTGGCGCCAGGTGCCCTCCCTGCTGCTCCTCTGGGCCCATCCCAACCTTCCTGCCGGGTCCAGGAGCTGCTCCCAGTAGAGGAGCCCATCGCAGGGAGCGGAAACTCTCTCCTGGTGCTCGCTGCTGCTGGCATCTCCAGGATAGTTTGCCGGTTTTCCAAGCAACTCTGTAACTGCTCCGGGCATGAGCAGGCTCTGTGGTGTCCCCAGGGGGAGATGGGGGGCTTCGAGACTGGATTTAGACCCAGATTCAGGCCCCCGTTGGTCTGATTTGGGGAATTTACATCCCTGATTCTGGAAGAGTGTCCCAGGAGCTGGTGTTCCAGCCTGCTAGGGACACGTGGGGACTGGGGACAAGGGGCTTGGCACTGTGGGGCCAGGGATATGCTGCTGGGGTGGCCGTGGAGCTGGGGACATGAGGACATGTGAGGCCATGGGGATGGGCCCCACGGGGCTGGAGTGGCCGTGGAGCTGAGACCACAGGGACAAGCACTGTGGGGCTGGGGGCCATGGAGACATGTGGCAATGGGGACCAACACCATGGGGCTGGGCGGCTGGAAGCTGAGGCCACGGGGATGGGCACCATGGGGGTGGGCACCATGGGGGTGGGCACCATGGGGATGGGGCCACAGAGACGGGCACTATGTGGTGGAATCGAGCCCCGAGGCCATGGGAATGGGCACCGTGGTGCTGCCGGTGTCCTGGCCCGGCACCCTGGGGAATGCAGCCATGATCCCTCCACGCAGGGCCCCAGCGTTCGGCTCCCCAGCTGCACTCTCACAGCCTCCACAGCCCCCCAGCCCCTCCAGCCGACCCAGGCCCCCTCCCCAGAATCCACCCTTTCTGGGTGAGACGGTACCGCTGCCATGCCAGGGCCCCTCGTGGCCCCTTTACCTGCTATGCGGCCAGGCACCGGACCCAACGGGTGGCTGCCCAGCACCGTGGCAGCCTGGCTGTAGGCTGCAGGACCTGCCCAGCCCTGCTGGGACTGCCCGGCGCGGTCCCCCATAGAGCCCATGGGCCTGTATGAGACAGAGGGAGATGCACGGGGCCCATAGGGACCTGTACAGTGGCCTCTGTTGTCTCCGCGCCCTGCGGGCTTCCGTGTGGCCTCCCCGGGCCTCCGTCTGTATTGGCCCCCCAAGCCCTGTGGGCTTCCGTGTGGCCTCCCCGGGTCTCCGTGCGCAGCTGGCCCCCCGGGCCCTGCGGGCTTTCATGCAGCCTCCCTGGGCCTTCGTGCGCGCATCGTTCTCCAGGGCCCTGTGGGCTTTCGTTCAGCCTTCCCGGGCCTCCGTCCACAGCTGGCACCCAAGGCCCCGCGGGCTGTTGTGTGGCCTCCCCAGGGCTCTGTACACACGTGGCCCCCCGGGCACTCCAGGCTTTCGTTCTGCCTTTACGGGCCTCCGTGCGCAGCTGGCCCCTCAGGCTCTGCGGGCATTGGCGCGGCCTCCCCGGGCCTCCGTGCACGCGTGGCACACCTGATCCTGTGGGCTTTCGTGTGGCCTCCCGGGGCCTCCATGCGCATGTAGCCCACCAGACACAGCGGGCATTCATGTGGCCTCCCCGGGCCTCCATGCACGCTTAGCCCACCAGACCCTGCGGGCGTTCGTGTGGCCTCCCCGAGCCTCCATCCATAGGTGGCCCCCAAGCCCTGCGGACATTGGGGCGGCCTCCCCGGGCCTCTCTCCGCGCGTGGCCCCACGGGCGCTGCGGGCTTTCATGCGGCCTCCCCGGGCCTCCGGGGGCTCTCAAGGCACGCAGGGCCCACCTGGGCCTGTATGGAGCCTGCAGGAGTCCGGATGGAGTCTATAGGGCTCGACTGCCCCCATATGGTGCCTGAAGAGGGAAGTGCGGGGCCTATAGAGCCCGCACAGGCACCTATAGAGTTGTTCCAAAGGGATGCACGGCGGCTATAGGGCCCGCCTGGCCACACAGGGCTGTGCAGGGTCCTTAAGGCTCGAGCAGGCCCATAGAGAGTCCCATATGCATCCCATATGGAACCCATATGGAACCGGCCCATATGGATCCCATGGAGAGCATCCCCAGACCTGTAGAGCCTGTTTGGGCTCATATCGGTATCGCTGGGAATTGTGTGGGGCCTGGAGGACCCACCTGGGCCCATATGGAGGCTGCTGGGGGCCACACGAGGCCTGTAGGACCCGTATGGGGCCCATGGGCATCCGCAGTGGGCCCACAGAGCCCCCCTAGGCCTGTATGGAGGCTGTGAGGTGCCCAGCACGGCCCATAGCGCCCATTCAGGCCCGTATGGAGCTCATGGAGGTCCACATGGGGCCTGTATGGCCTGCCTGGGCCCATATAGGACCCGTGGAGGTTGATACGGTGCCTATAGGGCCTGCCCAGGCCCGTATGTAGAACATGGGGGACCGCGTGGCACCTGTAGGGCCCCCCAGGGCCGTTTCAGAGTCCATGGGAGGCCGTTCAGGGTGAAACGAGGGCTCCGTGTGCGGACCAGCCGCCGTCGGCTGCCTCTGTTGCGTCTCGCCCAGCAATTCCCAAAGTCTTTCACAGGGAAGAACTTGTGCTGGAGCCGCGCGGCTCCCGCGCCGCCTTCAGAGGCAGCCGCAAAGCCTCGATGGACACGGTGCCGGGCGGCTGCGAGGGCGCCTGTTTCGGCGCCGGCGTTATGGGGTGTATCTGAAGAGCCAGGGGGGTCTGAAGGAGCCGGGGCGTGTGCGAGCGCCCGCGCCGGGGGGCTGCCGTGGGGGCAAACGCAGCCCCGCAGCGCCGGGCCGCGGCTGCCGGGGCGCTCCGACCTTGCCGGGGCGCTCCGACCTTGCCGGGGTGCTCCATCCTTGCCAGGGTGCTCCATCCTTGCCGGGGCGCTCCGACCTTGCCAGGGCGCTCCGTCCTTGCCGGGGCGCTCCATCCTTGCCGGGGCGCTCCATCCTTGCCGGGGCGCTCCATCCTTGCCGGGGTGCTCCATCCTTGCCGGGGCGCTCCGACCTTGCCAGGGCGCTCCGTCCTTGCCGGGGCGCTCCATCCTTGCCGGGGCGCTCCGTCCTTGCCGGGGCGCTCCGACCTTGCCGGGGTGCTCCATCCTTGCCGGGGCGCTCCNCCTTGCCGGGGCGCTCCGACCTTGCCGGGGTGCTCCATCCTTGCCGGGGCGCTCCGTCCTTGCCAGGGCATTCCGTCCTTGCCAGGGTGCTCCGACCTTGCCAGGGTGCTCCGTCCTTGCCGGGGCGCTCCGACCTTGCCGGGGCATTCCGTCCTTGCCAGGGCGCTCCGACCTTGCCAGGGCGCTCCATCCTTGCCAGGGCATTCCGTCCTTGCCGGGGCGCTCCATCCTTGCCGGGGCGCTCCGTCCTTGCCGGGGCGCTCCGTCCTTGCCGGGGCGCTCCGACCTTGCTGGGGCGCTGACCCGGAACAGCCCGGCCGACGTGGGGGCTCAGGCGGCAGCGAGAGCTGCGGGCAGCGCCGGCGGCACCTCCTGCTCCTGCTGCTTCCATAACTTCCCTCTGCGGGCGGCAGGACCCGGGCGCGGGGAGGCGGCGGCACCAGGCGGCAGCCAAGGACCTCACTCTGTGCCCTGAAATTTGCACCCTCGCCACCATCCAGGTCCCCTACCTGCCTTCCAGCCAGAAGAGCAAGCGTGCCCAGCACGTCCTGGAGCTGAAGAGCTTCAAGGACAACACCACCAAGCTGGAGAGCGCCCTGCGAGGCGCACGGGCCGGGGACGGCGTTGGCGACGCGGCGGCTCCGCGATGGCTCCGTGTTGGGACAGCGGCCGCCTGCGCGGGGATGTCCCCGAGGCGGCGACTCCCTGGGCCCTGTCCCTGCGGACGGACTGACCGGCTTCAGCTCGTGGATAAAAGACCCTGTCCTGTCCCGGCCCCGCGGCCGCGTCTGCCGACCCTGCCACCCGCTGCCCGTCCCTTCCCAAGGGCCGACGTTCCCGTTTCCCGTGCTCAACCGGGACTCCAAGTCACTGTAAATAGTGCGGGGCTGGTGGCCGAGCTGCCCCGGGGCTGCCGTTCCACCTCTCCCCCCGCCGGTATTTGGGGACATTGGGGACAGACAAACACCAGCTTTGCCGCCCTCTCTGCCGCCTCCCCTGTCACCAGCGCCCGCCCGGCCGGGCACCCTGGCCTGAGGAGGGGGCTGCGGGTGGCAGCGGGACCAGCCCGGCTCCGTGGGGAGCCCTGTGGGACCAACCCGGATCCGTGGGGAGCCCCACGGCTGGACTGGGGCCATCCTGGCCCCATGGGGAGCCCCACGGGTGGAGCGGGGCCATTCCAGCCCCATGGGGAGCCCTGTGGGACCAGCCCAGCTCCTATGGGGAGCCCCACGGGTGGAGCGGGGCCATCCTGGCTCCATAGGGAGCCCTGTGGGACCAACCCGGCCCCATGGGGAGCCCCACAGGTGGAGTGGGGCCATCCCAGCCCCATGGGGGGACCCGCAGCCCCCGGCTCGAGGCCTGCCCGGGGCCCCCTGTCCTTTTTAACGGCTATTTAATAAACGGCCGTTCCTTGCTGTGGCCACGCGGCCGTCACCGCGGCGCCCGGCCCTGGCTCCGCACGCGGGACGCGCGGGCACCGCGG